GGCACGTGGGCGCCGCCGCGCCTCCCGCGTGGTCTTCCCGAGCTGCGCGGGGCGCCCGTCCGGCCCAGACGGAACTGCACAGCGAGACCCTGTCTCACGATTTTTTCTCATTCTTCTATCCACCCCGCTTTCTCTGACATCTACTTATCCCTATCCACGGTTTCCTCTGGGAAAGGTTTATTGAATAGGATACACTGGAAACCACACGTGACTTTTTAAGAATGAGGCATTTTTACTGTCCATAAACTCTGGGATTTGCAGTGAATCTTTGAAGGGAACAAGAAAAAAATACAAGCAATCACTCAAGGCAGAAAGCCTTCGTTTATTGCAGTATAAGGGAAGCAGTCTCCAAGGGGAAAGCGAACCTGTGGTCATGGCTTACAGCCAATGGCGCGGGGGAGTAAGCGGACTGCTTTTTCACTGGCGGAGATAATCCGGTGTTTCTGATAGGACTCGTATTTGTTTCGGGTAACGTCTGAAGTCCCAGGAACGCGTGTGGCCAGGCCCGTCCGGCCCTGGAGAAGCCCGTGGGCGAGCTCCACTGAGCACGGGCAAGCCCGCCCAGGGAGGAGGCAGCAGACCTTGCACGGGCTTTGGCCCCTTGGATAGGCGGTTCTGGGACAGGTACCAAAAATATGGTCTAGGAATCACCTGGGGAGGAGGCGGAGGAGGAGGCCAGGCAGGGTGCCCGTGGCAGGCGTCATGTCAGGTCAAGGGCAGGACTGGCACGAGAGCGCCCCTCAGCAAATACTCATAAAACAGTCGAATGTGAGTACACTAGACACAGGGTTTAAGCCTTCACATGTATTATTTCATCTCTGTGAGAGTGCCATGGTGTAGGAAACATTATGTCCACTTTACAGACATGAAAACTGGAGCAGAGGTTGACAGCCAAAATATGCTACTTTGACCAGGTGATATCCAAGGTATCCGGAACCGCCACGTTATACTGGTGAATAAATGAAAATGAACGGTGTTTTCTGCTAATTGATAAAGCAACTGCTTTTCTCCTGCGGAATATGCTGGAGTTACTTTCTTTCTTCTGGGACAAAATACCTGACACTCACAACCTAAGGAGGAAAGTGTATTCTAGCTCACAGTTCACAGAGGTGTCAGCCCCTAGTTGGCTGGCTCCAAAGCAGAGGTGTCCGACAGAGCAGAAACAGTCCACGGCAGGGCGGACAGGAAGCAGCAGCCGTCCACTTCCCTTTTGACTTAATCCGGGCTACAAGCCTACTGGTTGGTGCCACCCACATCCAGACCGGGTGTTCCCTCTTCAGTAAATCCCTCACGGACACTCTCAAGATAGAGAAGCGTACATCGTAGTGTACAGTCAAAATACCAAAATGGGTGAACTGTGTAAGGACCATCCACAGGAATCAGGAACCGGAAGCAGCTACAATTCACCGCGGAGACACATAGGGCTTATGCCGACATGCGTGTTCATATATGTGGACACGCAAAGGACTCTTTTGAAGTCTAGAAAAAATCAGCTGCACTAGTTACTTCATTTTCAGAAATTCCTTCCAGCTCTAAAATTCTGATTTTTACTGTTTCTGTTTCACCCTCAATATTAAGTATGGCAGTAGAAAAATGCAATCATGCCAACTCAAACTGCTAATAACGACATCCAATTTGGAAGCCACTCCCGAGAACAGGCTTTCCTCTACTGCTTGCTTCTGACCTACCTGCGTGGAACAGGTCCTGTCCCATGGCTGTCTTTCCCGGAGTTCAGGGCAACAGGGCAGGCTGGACGGAGCGCAGCACTAAGGCAGGCCCGGGGCTGCGGCAGCGCGGCGAGCAGCTAGGCACTGAGCGTGCCTCCTCCTGTCTCGGCGGCCTCACCCGCTCCCCGACCTCCTGTCACCTCGATGACTGTGGGCTGTGGGAAGCAGCAGCGACTCAAAGGCCGCAGCAGATGCCCTCTTTGCACTTCGGGTACAGGGGAGCGCCGCAGGGCTAGGGTGGGGCCCGCCACACAGCCCACCTCTCCTCTGGTTGGCACTGACTGGTGCTCAGAGGTGCTGCCCAACACAGTGGTGAGACCCCGTCCTCTAGGGAGGATCTGATGACCATCTGAGCAGCGTCCCAATGGGCAGGTTTAGTCAATGTGCACCCTGAGTACATCTACATCTACAGCTTGCCAGAAATATGCACATCAGGAAAAAATCTTGTATAAATATTTTAATGACCTATTTATTGAGACACCATGAGATTAATACAAGTTACCTTTGGCCTCTGCAATTACAGTGGGTGCTCAGAGGGGTAGCCACGAGTGTCCAGACATGCATCACTATGGTGAACTGTCGAAGGGTGTATGCGTTCTTTTGGTAGACTCTGTATACAATGATAGTTCAGTTCAGGAACTTTCTTTCCACCATTCTGGTTACAGCCTTAGTTGGACAAGAACCGAATCAACTTCAGTGTTAGGCTCAACGTGACTTTATGGGGAAATCTGATTCGGTTCTTGTCCAATTCGGTTTGTGATCAGAATTACGGCAAGAATTATGTTCCTGAACTGAGGCACCACTGTATATTTTACTGGGGCTTGAACCCTGGGCCTTTGCATTGAGTTAATCCCATTTTTATTTTTTGAGACAGAGTCTAAGTCATTAAGTTACCCAAACTGGGCTTGAGCTTGTGACATGCCTGCCTCAGTTTCCCAGAGTGCTGGGATTATAGGCACGTTCCACTGTGCCTGGCCTGAGAATATACTTCCTAAAAGTGTTCTTGGGATATTTTAAAAATGGAAAGACAATAAACTCCAAAGACAAATATTATACATACTATTTAATGTCATAAAAATAAAAAATAAAAGAACCAAAAAACACTACTACCAGTTATATAAAGAAATTCCATTACCTGGGAAGAAGCAATTATGGAAAAATTCCCCTTTAAAAACTTTTGGGTTTAGCCAGGCATGGTGGTGGCACACACCAGCACTTGGCAGGCTGAGGCAGGAGGATCCTTCTGAGTTCAAGGCCAGCCTGGGCTACAAAGTGAGCTCAAGGCCAACCTGCACTGCATAGTGAGACCCTGTCTCAAAGACAAACAAAACAAAACAAAACTTCTGAGTTAAAGAGGAAATCAAAGGTGAGACTTAAGGTGAGGGGTGGAGCTCCATGGTGGAGGCTTGAACCCTGGCCCCGCAAGAACAAAAACGCTGAAACTTAGGAACGTCTAGAAAATAACAGCAATGACAACCCTAGTGCACCTAAGCGATTTAGCTTAAGGAACACTCGAAACTAAGTCCATGCCTTCAGTCACATGTTACTAAGAAATAAATGAATCAAAAGAAGTTAGGGAAAAATAATGAAAAGCAAAAAGATTTATTGAAGTGGAAATCAACTAATCAAAAAGCAAAAATAATTACAAATACAGGTAAGACATGACGCTTTGGGGAAACCACACACACACACACACACACACACCACACAGGCCAACTGTTAGCTTTGTCCTTTTTTTCTGACAGGGTCTCCTTTTGGTGTGTAGGCTAACCTCCAACTTGTGAGTGTAAGTAATCCTCCTGCCTCAGCCTCAGGAGTAGCCAGAGCTACAGGAGTGTGGCACCAGCCTGGCTGTTGGTTACCATAATCAAGAAGTAGGGTGCAAGCACCGTCCTCACAGATGAAACAAGAACTGCGCTCAGCTCAGGCAAATCAACCTGAAAATCTGGATGATATGGGTGGTCCTTGATCCCAGAGAAGACATCACAACCCCGCAGACCAGGTGCTACAGACTACAAGAAAACTATCAAAACCATTTCCTAAGTATCTGCCAGACCAATGATTTCACTGAAATTGTAAGGAAGAGAAAATTCCAAAGCAATTTAACTTGTGCAGAGCACAGAAACTGGTGGAAAGTTTCCAAATCCACCAGCATAAAACTAATATAAATTTTCTCAAAGATGTGTGCATGCACACACACACACACACACACACACACACACGCACGCACAAGCACACACGCATGCGCACAGAGGGGCTAGTTTCACTGGCAGGTATAAATGCCAAGTATCTCAAACAAAATAGGAAACACAATCTAGCAATGTATTAAAAAATACACACTGTCAAATAGAATTTATTTCAGGAATGCAAAGATGAGGATGGTTTAAAATTACAAAATATATTTATAAAACCCACCATACCAGAATTAAAGGAGAATCACTGATATATTCCCATGGATGTTGAAAAGGCATGTGATAAAATCTGACATGCATTCTTAGAAATCTTGTTTAAAATACAAATCATTGGATACTCCTCAATATGACCAAATCTATCTGCCTCAACCCAGTTCATGTCATCATAGCCAGTGTGATTTCACATTTGTCTAGAAGTACTTACTAGCAATTAAACAGGACACAAATTCACAGGCAACCTGCTTATCAAGACTTGTAGATGACACGATTATGTAGCTGAAAACCATTATTTCAAATTATAAGAAAGCAAAGTCTGGTGGCTGGGCAGAACACTAACATTACAAATCATTTGCCTGTATGTATACTAAAATTAGACTAAATAATACATGGAAAGGACTTTGCTAATCATAGTGACAAAATGATGGGATCTGTAAAGAAAAAACCTGAAGATGCATGACATTTCTGTAAACTAAACTACATCTGAAGGAAATACCCCCCCAAAATAAACAGGCACTCTTTAGAGGGCACCAGGATTTAGAGAAAAAGGTTTTGATATAATGATATAAAATTCCCTTAAGTTAATCAACAAAATTAAAACTGTCTAAAAAAAAAGTTTGTGGGTCTCAAGTTAATTCTGAAGCTCAGCTGTAAAAATACGCAAGAATATCAGACATACTTTAAAGTAAGTTACTGAACCAGTGCAGTGCTGGCACAAAAGGAGGCAGGTTAACTGGAAAGAAGAGAAGTAGTCTAAACACACACCCCAGTAATGTGGGATTTTCCTGCATAGAAGCTCAATCGCAAACTGATAAAGGGTGTACTAGTTAGTAAGTAGCTCTGGGGGAACTAGTCACCTGGCGGGGAGGGGGCGGGAATGAAACCCTAAATTCAGGGTTGACTACCAACTTAAAGGTAAAAAGTAACAGATACTCAACTCCAAGTACTCCAATGCTAATGATGGGTTTTCTCTTGAGAAAAGCGCAGAAAAGGCACGCAGAGTACAAGCTGCACTGCGATACGTGCACGTGCAGACCCAGGGGGCCCTGCGTGCGGCTGGGCGCACAGCCTGCGGTGTTTCCGGAGGGACGCGCGAGAACACGGCACTGGCGCACATCTCTTTGAAGGGGACCTACAGGGTGGGTGTCGGGTAGGAGAGGGACCGTTTTCCACTGTTGGAACCAGGATGGTGTAGCAACTAAGAAAAAAGGAAATAAAATATATGCCAGAAAATAAAACCAAAACCCTACAGTCAATGGTGTATTATCAACAGGAACTGAAAGAACATTAATCTGCTGAGTTCTGTTAGAATACACTATAGGGCCCCAAAGTGTACGTAAAAATAATGTGAAAAGAGAACCAATCGTGATGCTCTATCTTCCAAGGTACCCTACACAGGAGGTAAACGCTCCAGGTCCTGAGGGCCTCTCACCCTGGCCGGAGTGTACAGTACTGCTCCCCTCTACAGGAGTGAAGGAGAATATACCTGCTTTCCCTTTCTTCTACATTAGGTATTTTACAGCCCAAATCTGTATTTATACCACAACTCAACAAAAATAAAGAGAAAACTTTGATTTAAAAAGTACCTCAAGGCAATAAAAAAATCATTTTAATTTTTGATACATATTAAAACATTTTAGTCAGTTCTTCCTGACTGCATAACACAAGTACACAAGACCTCAAACATGCTTTAAAATGACATTCAGCAAAGTACTTAAATTTAATAAATAGCAATAATCCCACACAAATACATTTTCGTACTCAATCATGAAGCTACTAAAACAGACAGCTAAAGAATAAATAAACAGGAGTTGACAATAAAAAAATAAACAGGTTTTGCAATTCACTCTACTTAAAAAAGGGAGGCATCTGAATTATGTCTTAATTCGCTTTTCTTCAAAATTACAGCATGACCCCCCCCACGAATAAAATATATTGAAAAAAATCACTCTTACAATAACGCAGTTTTTAAATACAACAAATAAATATGAGACTGGCAAAGCAACTTCAAGTTGTAATACAAATGCTCCCCAACCCCCAAAAAAGCTACGGAAATATATAGTCACTGCGGTAGCAAATAATAGTATTTAAAGTGATAGTGCTTGTGCACTGAACTCATCTGAGACCTTGACACGACTTTAGTGCAAATCCGTAGGGTCCAATACAAGCACAACCCTAGAATATTAGGGAAAAACGTTACCAGCTGGAACTTCCATGTACAATTTCTGTACATATTTTATAAAGTTCGAAGTTTAATGCATAGTAGAATATCTTCATCTGCTTAACTGTCCCTAAATAGAGATGAAAAAGGAATGACTTGGGATTTTAGCATTTGGTTTGTACCATGTTATAGTATTAAAGTCAGTATTAGAAAATCTATAAAAGTTTTACTCTTGCCCTTAATTCACCTAAGTCTACCTAAGTTCACACCACTGTATGTCAAACCTAAGAGCAAAGCTTCGAGGGAGTTTTTTCCCTTTGACAGTATGATAACTCCAACGAAAGCGAAATGCAGTACCGCACAAACAGAAAGGCGAGCGTAAGGACGCGTGTTCTTTTTGTACACGAGGACCGCCCCGTCCAGCGGCCGGCACGCGGCGCGGC